GGTATATGCTATGACTGAAGACCGAAATATAGCCGTGGTTAAGAGTGCCCAATTAAATCAAATATCACTCTGTGAATAAAGCTGTTTGAATGACAGTGAATGGATTATTTCAAACTTGATCTGACTAATACTGGTATCAGCCACACGGTTTTAGCTACAGATAGGTGATAGTGAGTGGGGTGTCATGTATTGGCAAGAAGTTCCAGCAGTCTGATTCCTATTTAATACATTTGCTTAGTGGTGGATCCAGAAGGATGGGACCCAGGACCATTTCTTCCTGAAGCCAACATTTTTTTGTAATTTTACTAAATCTCAATATAATTATGATACATAAATCTTGTCACATCCAAAACACTATTCCTGTTTTGAATATACTCATTACTTTTTTATTTCAAGCCAACTATTAAAAAATACCTACGAGGGGGGGAGGGTCAAACTGAAATTGATTGTGCTGAAATACTTTCTGGATCCATCCCTGTATCTGTTAATTTTCATAACCAAAATATACTTAACCACCATAGCTACCTTGTGTTTGCTAATGTCAACTTCATCTGAATAAAGTCAAATGTAGTATGCTCCAAAGCTATTCATACTTGGAACTTTATCAACTCACTTTGGATAATGTGAACATTAACTAGCTAATTCAGGAATTAGCCAGATTCACACTTTATCTGTGACATACCAAGAGAAGTGAAAGTGAGGGCAGTTGACATGTTCAGTTACAGAAATGAAGATGTCATACAGTGTTTCTTTATGATTAAAGACCTCAACATATGTTCTTAATTTGAGTTTCACAGTTGTGGTGCTAGAGAAAGGCATGGATTTCTCAAACTAGTTTGTTTCCTAATCTTTTCAGCCTGGGCTAGTTTTTTTGGTTTTGCCCCTCTTTTCTCAGCTACTACCTATCAATGCCCAAAAACCAATTTTTGTTTCCATAATAGTAGAATTGAAATATGACTTTAAGAATATTACAGAAGAGTATGGTCAGAAGATATAGTCCAATATATAAATTTTTATTGAAAAATTTCAAGCCACTTTTTAGAAAATGTCACTTGAGGGTTTCTGAAAATGTGCAATTCTGAGCTCATTCTCTTAGCACAGATTTGAGTTTTCGAGAAACTTCGTTTGAAGCACTTACACTCACAAATGCAAAAAAAAAAGTATTTTTTTAAAAAAACCCTTAAGTAACAAGGTGAGAAAATAAAGATAAAAAAAACATTTCTGTAATTTTTGAAAAATAAAAAGAATACAACTCAAAATGCCAATAATGTGTTATTCAGTGCATTAAATAAAAAGAATACAACTCAAAATGCCAATAATGTGTTATTCAGTGCATTTGGTACTATCTGTAATAAAATTTTAAAGAAAAAATTTGGACCAATATGAAGAAAATCTTTATTATTTTTTTTAATATAATATTTCAATCAAAATTGCACTAAAAGTACTAATATTCAAAACAATTTACACAAAGTTTATTAAAGAAGTATGAGTATATAACAAATTTCATTTGAAAAAATTATCTTTCTTCAATAATGTTGTTGTATTAGGGGATTCAAAAAAAGAAGAACTTACGCAATTTTCAAAATTTCGGAATGTACAGTGAAAATCAGACCTGTGCCATTCTTTAAAGGTATTTATCTCAATCCTGATTTAAGGCACAATATTTCTTTTAAAAGAAAAAATGTAATATTAATTTTTGGAAAAAAATAAAATAAAAAACCGCACATTCCACATATACGCACATTCTCATTTATTTATATGTAGATATGGAATGTTGCTATTTGATGCGAAAATGTCTCTTAGTGATGAGAAGTTAAGTTGTTTTTTTTTTAAACAAAATTTGTCTTTAAATTGAGGGTGGGGTAAAAGTAGGGGAACCCCAAATTAACATAAGCCTAAGAGCCCCCAAAGCTGCTAAAACAGCCTTGATTTCACTCACAAGTTTAAAAAAATAATTGGATTCCCCCCACCAAATTCAAAGAATTGTATTTAAAATAGCAGGGCTTCGAGACGGGTAGATCGCTCGTGGAATATTCATTTTGGATAAAATTCTATAGTTACGGGCGGTAATATTATTAATAGATGAAAGGACGTTTTGAAAAACAAACAAACATTTGTTCTTAGCAGGGGACCCCAAAACGCGTATTTCCATTAAAATTTCGAAATAGATTTTCCGCAGTATTACGTTTTTGTACTTCTTATTGTACTCCGAATAACATACGTATACGAGAAAATAAAATTCAGTAAATTATTCAATATTAAAAATGGAAGATCCTGTTGGAGTAACAGTGCCCCCTATCCTATCTCACCACAAGGGCTTAGAGAAATTTTAATCGAAAAATACATTGTGCAAGCGCTCGCTCGGTAATTACGACAGGGTTAACCAAAATAGGTTCACTACTTTCAAGTTGATGAAGAGCCCGCTAGATAGCATTAGCTTCTTCAGATTGATCGTTTACGGAGAACATTGCTTGTATAGCACGTTTGAGTTGCTTTCGGCTGGGCCTTGCTCTTAGGATCAGCGGAATCATGAATCGCGCGATGTCTAATGCATTCAAATGATGCGTTTCGTGCACAAGTGTTTTGCGATGAAAGACCTGTTCATTGGAAGGATGTGTACTGTGCTGGGAGTTTTTGCGATATTTTTGAGAGTTGTGAAATGACTGAAATAGATGCTGATTTTGTCTTGGGTCCTTCATATTGCAAAATTTTGAATCTTGACGTTTAAACTTTTAAGGTGGGTATGTGGTGGAAATGCGATTCGTTTATGGTGCGATGTATGTTATGTTAATCATCAGTTGTGTCTTCGTCAATGTTAATGCGTTTTTATTAAGTCGAAGAGGAATTCAGCTCGAAATAGATATTTTTGAGCGTAGTAAAGTAGTCACTCCCTGTTGTTACGTTACTCATAGGTGAGTAATTCTATTTCTAGGATTTTAATGTCATTCTTTAGTATACGTGTGTAGTATTAGTTAAACGTTACTTCAAAATTGCGTTTCATTAAACTTGATTAATTAAAACGCGAATTTTTACATTTGTTCTCATTCATTTTCTTCAGCAACTAGCTTTGAAATTTCTAGCACTTCCCATTCTTGTACGTTCAGTAATAAAATTTCCGGGCTAAACCAAAATATAATTACAATTTGATAGTACGGCAAAGTTATTTTCTTAGCCCGTAAGTATCGATCAACTTGTTCGGAGTACCTCGGTTGGCTTCGCTATTATTCGGGTTGAGTTCCGTGCCTGGAAAGGGCCGATTTCAGTAAATTTTCCGGTTAAAGTGCTTGACGGATTCGTTTCCTGTTGACATCCGGCGTGTGGTCACTGATTTGCGTGAAATGTACAACATGATAACGGCCTTTCGCCACAGTTTCAGACGCTACATTGCCACCTAAGTACCAACTTTCTCTTCGCAATGGAAAAGTCACGATAAGTCGAAAGGAAAGCTTTGAGGCAAGACAATTTTACAATAATAAATGTAGCCACGAATTGTTTTTTCCCACTCATTGCAAATATTGTCTTGAATTTGTCGTGTTGATTGTTAATTTTTCATTAGTAATTTCTTTTGTTCTGTAGTTCCAATTCTACCTTTTCTGAGAAATTATCTAAACGAATGCTGTCAGCCCATTCGCTGATCACTAACTGACCCGCGCTAGTATGATTAGCGTAATGATTTAAGCAATTTTTATTGAAAATAAGATATCTCATTTTAGTCATAATTCTCCAGTTCAATACTAAATAACACAAGCATGAGAAGTTCTTTTTTCTAAAAAAAACCATTTAAAAATGATATGACCAATCAATATTATTCATGGATATATTTCTATTTTCATGATTTTTTTGGTTAATTTGTCTTTTAATTTAAAAAAAATCAGTTCTACCAGTCAGGATGTGGTAAATAATAGGTTTCAAAGCAGGGCATTATGTACAGTCATGTTTCTCAAACAAAATAATCTATCCTGAAATCTTTCCCATATTTTAGAAGAGCAATGAAGCTCTTCCCAGTTGTGTGATATGGTCACTATGAGTTCAGATAAGTCGGCTGCCCGTCGCAAAGCTGACTCCAATAATGGCAGTCATGCAGGCGGGTCAGCAGGCTACCACCAAACAACAGGAAGCAATGAAGATACACCCAATCATCTTGTGTATAGAAAGGTAAATTGATCTTTGAGATGTGATTTTTGGTTCCTGTCATGACATGGCTCATTGGGTGGTCAGCTCATTTTGGAATAATAAACAGTAATTTGTTTCTCATAGTATAATCATGATAAGTTCACTATTACATTGGGTAATCTTAATTTTTGTTAAAGGAAATGTTATTAAAATGCCATATTAGGAGTTGTATAAATATAGAACTATTAATTATTATTTTGTTTTGTGAGCTGAATCAGAAAATAAAAAATATTTTGGTTGAAAGTATAAACGGCTATAATTTAAATACTAGACCGATGTAATTGATGTATGTAGTGATGTAAATTGTCTAATTCTCATACAAATTATGTAGCAGACTCTTTATAGCCATAAAGAGCCCAACTTTTGCTTTTGTGGAATATATTCTGAGCGTGTGAAATCTACAAAAACAATTGTATTTTGGGTAGTTCCCTGTTCAAAAAAGACTTTACGATAGAGAGTTGCAGAGACATACTCCAGAATTGGAAGTCATTGGTTGATTTTTAGATTGGACGATTATAAAATTTTCATGAATACATTCGTAAATAATAATGTGTACGATCTTTATTTTTGTAGGGTTGTTATTCTTCTGCTTCTTCAATGAGTCATGTTCACTATACACAATAAGTTCACACTAATTGAAATTTCATCACCATTGTCATTTATCGATATTAACTTGAAATAATTACAATCTTGTCTCCTGAAAGATTTACTAATCCATCTGAAACTGTCTGTGTTGATTCCCTTTGCCTAAATTTTTTTCTCAACATCTGGTTTATAATAGCTTTAAGCTTTATAGTAAACATAAATTTATTCCTTAATTTTGCTTAAAACATATGTCTTGATAATAGTTTAAAAACATTTTTCAGGCAATATTCTACCTCTGATTACAATAAATTTTTGATTTCATTCAAAAGAAAGAATACATTGACTATAGAGATTTAAACTCTGTCTCTTTTATATGTTCTGAAAAGGAAATTGGATTGGCACATATTTTTGTAATATAAACTTTGTTTTTTTATTTTTTGATAGTAGCAGAAAACATCAATGTCAATGAATGTGAAGAAATGGCTAATCTAACAAAAATCAATTTTTGGAAATAGAATAGGGATTGTATTGATGTTTGTATATTTTAAAAAAAAATAAAAGATCAATGGTCTATTTCCTGATAAAAATATTGTCTACAACATCTAAAAATCATATAAATTTCCATTTTCTAGAACTTCTTACTGCATATATTTCTAATTTATTTTTTTATTTACGCCAATTGGTTTTGTCCATTTATGTTATAATACAATTTGCAGTTATAATATATTAATTAATTACACACTGAATGAATACAGTAATCTGTAGAAATACAATACTTTATAATATAGGAATATCTTGATTAGGTGACTGCAAAGCTAGTTCACTTTAGAACTCGACATCAATAGATATTTAAAGAAATGATCAAGTTTGGAATATTTAAAACACTAGTATTGATATAGCTTTGATCATTATATTCACTGTATTATATTTTGGGCATTGAATATGTTAGTTCATGAATAACTATACAATTGGTTAAAAGTTGTTTATTTAGAGCAGCACAAATTGTTTACACTTATCGGTTTTGTGTAATTTTATTGCCAAATTTGGTCATTAAGCATTTTATTTTGTTAATAGATGGAGCAAATTATTGAAAAAATGCAGGATGAAGCTTCAGGAGTTCCAGTAAAAACTGTTAAAAGTTTTATGTCTAAGATACCATCTGTTTTTACAGGTAAATAATTTCTTTGTGGAATTTAGTCTCTTTGAATAATTTGAACATTTGATTTATTTGTAACTCTAAGGCTTGTAGTTCAATATATCTGCACAAGGTAAACATAGATATGGTGGGGAAAGTTAGGGTCCTGGGAAATGTCAGTAAATTTTTGTGAAATACCTGGAAAGATTATTTGATTATTAACAAAAATTATATATGTAAATTTAATGACGTAGAAATTACTATGTTATTGAAATTTCTTTTTTTTTTTTCTTTAGTTACAATTTAAACAATATGTTCAATTAATTTAAAAACATACATGAAATATATTTTTTTTTAAATTTAATTTCCTTCCATAGTCAATTTTCTTAGCATTGATCTGCTAATTTAATACCCAAGAAATGAAACATATTATCAAAAATATATTTTTTTCTTCACACGTTTCTAGTTTTTGTAACATTTTCTGAAATAAATTAAATTGCATTCTTAGTTCTTAATTGCGATATTGAACACAGAATATTGGTTTTGATTTAGAAATAGAAATATACAAATCTTATCGCAAAGAACAAAAATTAGGTAACTATTACATCCCCATTCACCACCATATCTACCATCACCACTATCTTAAGGTTCTCTTGAATAGTTCCACATAATATTTCTTCATTAATAAGGCTCGGAAGTTAATGCTGTATCAAATGGAGAAATAAGCATGCAAATGTGCTGAAACATTTGTAAAATATGCTCCAGAACTATATGAAATATTCTTAAACAATTAAGTTTTATGTATTCATGGACAATTACAAAACTTTTAATTTTAACAATTAATTTTGCATTTTGTCTCCACTTAGTATTCGAGTGATACTTTTTAAAGTAAAATATAATGATTTCATCTGTATCTTCATCGCAGTATGAATTCCAATGCCATTAATTCTTTACCAAAGATAAATTATTATCATTCATAATTAGACAAATTACTTCCAGGTACCAACGCCACGATATCAAATGAAAGAAGTTCAGGCAAATATTGCTAGTTCAAGCGAAAGACATTCCCATGATTTCACATTCACATTTGCGATGTACAATTTTCGGTTTGAGGAGACAAACATGCATATTAATTGAAATTCAAAGAGAAATATGTCACATTAAGAACGTAAAATATGAATAATAACTTAATTATAGTGGAAATATGTTGCATTGACACAAAATGCCCTAATATGCTAAATAAAATCACAGAATTTCTGTTAGTTTGATTGTGTTTTCTGGACATTTGATTGTTAGCATATATTTTAAGCTCTTAATTAAATATATAATTTTTCATAAACTTCCGGGGCTTACTCATTGAAATTGAATCTACATTAATTTTACGGCCTTCATATTATTAAAAATTAAAATTAAATATTTAAAATTAATTATTAAATCTATTTTCCTGTAATTTTGTGATTTTCTATTCAATTTACTTTGTACCTTGAAGCTTATTAAGATTTGGATTAATGAATTCAATTAATTTCTTTTCACATTTTAGGGAGTGATCTGATAATGTGGATGATGAAAAACTTGGATGTTGAAGATCAAAGTGAGTTTAAAATTACTATTAAGGTGGAGACATGTGATTGCGCATATGGACAAGTAATTTAATGCAAGCTTTTTGATAATTTTCTTTCAGATGAAGCATTGCATCTTGCTCATTTGATGGCAGCCCATGGTTACTTCTTTCCCATTGATGATCACATGCTCACTGTTAAAAATGATAACACTTTTTATAGATTTCAGGTATTTATTATTTTTAAAGAAAACCAAATTTTAAATGCATTGGAAGAGAACAGTGTTTCATTTGCCAGTGTTACTTTTATTTTTGGTTTTATTCTTAAACAACATACTCATATTATCAAATAATTTGAGGAAAATTAAAAAGAAGAAGAAGAAAAACAAAAAAGAAATAAAGATAGAAAAAAGAAAAGAAAAAATATTATGCTTATTGGAACCTGTTAAATTGATTTTTTT